ATAATCCTTCCTTACCCTCCACAAGTGAAAGTGTTCTCAAATTGCAGAAGAATCGTCAATTAAAAGCACTGTTATTGGAGGAACATTTCGTTGTCCCAATTCGATCCACAAAAATTCAAAAAATTATTCTTCGCTTCAATGATAGTTTTTAAATCAGTGACTTGACATGTACATGAAATGGTATTAAATATGGCATAACAGAAGAAGAAATAGACACACAAGAACTGAGTCGGCAAGCGGATGTGAAAACAATTATGAAGAATAAAAACAACATTAATTAGCAGTAATGGTTAATGAGCCGCTCTGAATGATTCGTGAAAGACTATTCATAAAAATTAATAACAGGCAACTGTCCTTCAATTCACGACAGACTTTCGAAAGGCTAAAGATTTTAGTAAAAGACAATTTTAAATTGTGACAACTATCTTGAAAGCTCGTCTCTGCCTTTCGAAAGACTAATTGAAAGATCTGCTAACAAGGAGGCCTCAGCGTTATTCTGGTTGTCTTTTAATAATAAGTTTTTTAAAAATTAAATTAAATAACAAAATACATTTTTCTTTCTAAAACATTAAAACCCAAAAATTAAAAGATAATTTAATTGAAAAAAATGTAAAAATAAATAAAATAAGTCACATAAACTTAAATGAAATTAAAACCAAAACATTTTCCGTTTCAAAGCAATTAAATCAAAAAATAATAATAACTAAAATAAAATAAAAATTAAAAAAAAATCCTAAAACAAACAAAATAAAAAATATTTTCCTTTTTAAAACAATCGTTAAAAGCACATATTGAGCACGAAAAAATAACATTTATTTCTAAAAGTTTATTGATAAATAAATAAAATATTTTCTCAATTTAAAGCAACAAAGTCTAAAAATTAAAAACTACATAAAATAATTTTCTAAAAATTAAATTAATTTAAATAATAAACAAACAATCTCGAAATTAAACGAAAACAGAATAAAAAAAAACTTAACAAAAAAAATTTAAAAACTTAAATGAAATTAAAGCTAATATAAAATATTAAAATGAAAGTAAATAATTAAAGTTAAATTAAAAATATATATATAAAACATAAAATGCGTTCTTAAAAATTAAATTAAATTAATAAAACTAATTAAGAAAGACAAAAAAAATTACGTTAACAGGTACATTCTGCACGTTACCGAAGATTTTGTAACCGGAAAATTTTATTTCCGGAAAATTTTATTACCAAAAAATTTTATTACCAAAAAATTTTACCAGTTTTTGTCACCGCGATTCTAGGCACGTTCATAATGCAGATAAAATATTCAGCAATTCAGTTATGCATATTTCACAGAGCAATACTTTGTTACCAGCTTTTAGGATGGTAACAAAATTTACCGGTTACAAGAGTACCCAGAATGCGAAAAGGGTTTAAAAATTGCCAGGCACTTTATTAACCGGTTACAAAATTTTTATTACCAGCGCAGAATAGACCTGTAAAAAGCAATCTTATTTGTAAAAACTGAATGAAATTAAAAATTTATTTTTAATTTTAAATAAAATATAAAATCAAAAGAAAATTAAGTCAAAAAACATATTTTGCCATTACCAAAAAAAAAAAATATAAAAATACACAAAAATTAAATTAATTTACATAATTAACAAAATAAAAAAATTAAAAGGGAAACAAATAAAAAAAATTTAACTAAAAAAAATTTAATAAGTTCCTAGAAAAAAGAAATTCCTTTTTAAAGCAATTAAAAAATAAAATAAGTTTCTAAAAATTAAATAAAATTTAAAAATATGTTTTTTGCTTAAAACAATGAAATATAAATACTTAAAAAAAACTTATTAAAAAGACAAAAAATAACCTTAAAAATTTAATTTATTTCTAAAAATTAAATGAAATTAATAATATATTTTTCCTCTTAAAACAATAAACTCTAAAAAACGCATATAACTCATTGCATAAGTACTCAGATACTACATACATATATGTACAAACATACATAACTACTTACATACATATGTTAACAACATCGTACTATAAATTTTATCGCTAATATTAGAAACTGAAATATTTGCAGATGAAACAAATTCCCACTGCACTTCTTACTATTGACGCACGGTTTTCTTATCACTTGACAACGAGTTAACGAGTGTTGTTGTAAAAAAAAAATAAAAAGCTTTTTTAATTGTGAAATTTGCGAAATTTGTTTTTGTAAGTATGCTGACTAAGTTAACGATGAGCAAGATACACTTGAATTGAAAGAGATCTTCCTGTAAGTGTGGGAATCCCTAAAATGTTTACAGGTGTTTGAAGAAAATCCAGGTAAATATTTATCGTTATAATTAAATTATTATCGTTCTTCAATTTCTAAGAAATTATTATAGGGGATGTTTTTTAAATGTTTATGCACAGCTACATTGCGACGAAAGAAAGTTATAATTAAACTAGTATCTATGATATTGTAAAAACAGCTTATTGCAGTACACATGGGCGTAGCCAGGTAGAGGCAGGGGGGTGCTCGAGCCCCCCCCTCCCCCCCCCCCCTAAATTTCATTCTGGCTACGCCGATGGCAGCACACATTTTAGAGTGGCGATTCACTCTCGTGCGAATTTTTCAATCTGATGCTGGAAAGCGTCATAAGAGCTGCCAATCTGAATTGCAGCGGCATCATGTACAGCAATAGAACTATGCTGCTGATGATATTGACATCACTAGCCTCAAAACCCAGGTATTAGGGCCGCGAATTTCGATATGATACGACCCCATACCGATATTTTTGTCATCCGATTTTGATAATTTTTACTCGATAGTTTTCAAACGATATTTTTTGGAATCGAGAACCCTTGTATCTTATCAAATCGTAAATGTACATTAAAAAGTTAATGTGATTAATAATATTTTTTTCAGTTTGTTAAAAATTATTGTCTTTTATTAAATTCGTTTTGAAGTGCTTAAGGAAAAGTACTCATGGGCTTTTGCAATGTGGCGTGGCGTGACATTTGTGTGACCAAATTGCACAGGACTATTTGTATACAATTTTTTTGTAGTAATATTTGGAATATTTAAGGTTCATTTTCCAAGCTCCAAAATGTAAAAATCATTCCTGCTTTTTTTTTATCAGCCGAAGTATCTGACGTGCCGTTATGTTACTAAAATTTCCATTGAACTACAGATTTTTGTGTTCTTTTCATGAAAAAAATTCAAACTTTTAGAGGGAAAAAATAAAAAAATAACGACTGTTTTGTTTTTTTATTTTTTATTTATTAATTTCTCAGAAACTATCAGTCCTATCGAAAAGTAATGTCTACACGGTTTCTGGAAAATTTCAGTGGCTTTCATTTGCCGTCTTTCGTATTAAGATTGTTCAATTGATTCGTAAGATATACGGGATTAAGTGGAAACACTCTTTTTTTTTATACCCGAGCGCACTTGTGCACAAGGGTATATTAATTTTGTTCACATAACGGTTGTTTGTAACAGCCAAAACGAATCGAGATAGATATAGACAAATGTATACATAAATGATCAG